AAGTAGGAGCTTAGATTTCTTAACAGTCTTTATAAAATAAATAAAGCAGAAGAGTGAAATTAAAGGGATTATGCAATATTGTTTTAATTCATTTTTTCATCTATTTTTGTCAGTAATAAGATTTTCACTGATCCCACCATACTGTAATATTAAAAGAATCCCTTTAGTTGAAAACAGACTGAGTATTCACCTTGCAAACACATTTGAGGGTGCAGCAGAGAGAAGTAAAAAACTTCCTGTACATTGAATTGTCCATCTTAAAGGTTAGAAAAAAGGGCGAGGACCGAGGGGGGAATCCAGCCAGAGTCATTATCTCCCTGTGAATCTCGAGGCCGGACACCTCATCTCCACATGCCTCTTACACTTCGTTTACCAAATGGAGATGTGGGGGAGCGTGGATCAGGATCTCAGCAAAGTCTTCCTTCAGAGCTGGGGAAATACACTGCGGAACTCATTCCCTCTCACTTTCATTTTTGCAAAAACCAGCAATGCACCGGGTTAATCTGAAATCAGCTGTATTCAGTTTGGGGGGGCAGTGATCAGCAACCTCACTCAGCTTCAGGTTTCATGAGGAAAACAGATATACCGAGACCATAAATAAAAGAACGGGCCAACCTCTCTGTGTCTCACAGTACATCCATTGGAACAATCCAGCTCAAAACAGATTAGGGTTTGACACAGCTATCATTTAGTTTAAGACATCAACATCCTTCAGACACTGCTGCAGTTTCAACAATGGCTTCAGGAAAGGCCAGATTACGTGTTTACACAAATCGGAACATTTCTCATATGACCACAAGTCTTTGACTTTCACCCCCAAGGACTTGTGCTAGCCAGACCCGACCCCGTGACTACTGTTTCACTGTCCAAGTGACAGGCATCTAAGCGGAGCTGAGGAATGGTGACTGCAATTGGATTAACAAGGACCGATTCTCTTAATGAGTCACTGTTGAGAATCAAGGATTCTTGATTTTCCTGGAACTATAACAGCCGTTTCTTTTTCATACATTGAACACCTCTGGGATGAGTGATTTTACAAAACGGGGGCAGAGGATATCTAAGGCATAAACAGGCTTATCAGAAAACCAGTGTTGAACTTAACCCTTACCTCTCATGCTACTTCAGGAAAGAGTATTATGCAACTGAACAACAACAACAAAATCTCAAAAATATTCACATTAATGGATTCGGATATTTGTATCTATTACACTATGAGGTACACCAAAGTTCCAGGCAGACTTTCCTAAAACGTAAAAAATCCATCAAAAGGATGCAGAACTTTCTGCTGTGATAACTTACTGCTTTTGCTGCTCGGATAACCAAGACCTGAAAACACCTAAAACAAACCAAAGAACCCACACCCTCATCAATGCAGAAACTGATCTCTCGTTATAGGTTTTATCTAAAATCAGCTTAAAAAAAAAAATCCAGTGGTGTCAGAAAAAAACATGCACCATGAGGACAAAAGAGAATTTGCTGAAAGAGGCCCCAGATCAAAGATGGTAGCACCTTCACTTTCCTCCAAGGAGGATGGAAATTCAGCAAGGAGTATTCTGGATTACTGTGTAGGTATTGTGGTATTCGAGTTAAGCCTGCACCAAGTTGAATAGCTATGTTATTTTTGAAATCAACAGTCATTAAGTGGATGCTGCACATGAATATCTTTTCATGTAATTTTTCAGTGCTTTATAAAGATTAGTAGGTATCCTTCCTGTTTTACAAGTGTACAACAGATGCAGAATAATTTACTGTGCTGTGAAATTGGCCAGGTGACTTAATACGAGAGCGGACAGTAGGACCTCCCTGTTAAAAACCACTAGACAATACATACATAGAGGGGATGGTAAAAAGATTGGTCTTGTTTTTTGTTCAGACACCCATCAAACTAAAAAAAGCAGCTAACAATTCTACTTTTAAAATAACTGTCCCTCAGCTGTCCCACCGTTACCCCCAGTATTCATAAAACCCAGAGCAATCGCTGCAATCCAGGTATGCGGTCTGTGCTTTGAAAATACTTGAGACTTCTTATTTAGGAGGGGGAAAAAAAAAAAAGTTGATTTTAACACATGTATTCCTGTATATCTGTTTGGAACCAAAAATGGCATGTATCCTGTCTTGGAACACAAAATAAAAATGTCTTTCCTTCATACTGGATGAGCTATAAACGGACGGACATGTGTTGTCCTTTTAATGATCTGCAAACATGACAGTCAGAGCAACGCTGTATGGGTGACAAGAGACCATTTACTGCATGGCCAATTTGTCTGTGGTGTCAGCTCAGGAACAACTGCATGGCCAATTTGTCTGTGGTGTCAGCTCGGGAACACGGGGTATTTGGGAGCGTGGGGGCAGAAAAGTAGCTATGTAGATGAAAAAGTGGCAAAAAAGCTAAGCAGGGGAGGCACGGAGAAATAGGTAAGTATGTTCTAGCAAACCTGTGGCCTAGCCAGATAAAAAGAAAAGTCCTGAAGTAAAGAAAAAAAAAAGCAGTATTACATAGGCATTTAGTTTAATTAGACAATTATAAAGCAGTCATGATATACAAAAACATCGATCATCTTAAACATGGATTTAGTAGATCAGCTACTCACATTTTTGTTGCAACGCAGAATTTCAAAAATTACGCGATACGCCAAGAAAAGGTAAGTCAATAATGTTATATAAACCAGTTATCAGATTATACGCCCCTGCCATCTGCCTGCACAACTCTGCCGGTTCTGTCAAAAAATGAACGCATATTAGGCAATATCATCTAAATCATTGTAAACAAAGACTGCTTAGAACAAGTGTAGTCGATAGCAATAGTGTTAATTTCCACAAATCACAACGCTGAATGTATGTGTTTAACAAAAGCATGTTGGCTCAAATCCATGTTTCCTTTTTCAATATTGCACTTAATGTTTGCTGTCTTCTGGAGGATCTGAAGGATGAAAGCTTCAATTAAGATGCAACTGATACAGACCAAGATTTTAATTTTTATCTTTTTGGTCAGGTAGTCTTCCTTACTTTTTTTAAGCAATAAACAGGAAAAGTTATAAAATATTGGGGTGTGCATATTAAGAAATAGCAAACGTGACTGAAACAGGAATTTTGTCATCATAAGCTTCTCTAGAATAACATTGGAAAAATTCTTAAAGCCAAACTAAAACCCGTACTGCTAAATGAGACTGTGTTCCATTTCTGCAAGCAGTGCTGAAATTCAAACCAGAGTTATGTCCCATGGAAACATGTATAGGGGAAGCGGCAAAAAGCAGCAAATAACCCGGTAAAACTGCAATTCTCATTGCAGCCTCTAAATAAACTGCTGCTGACAATCTTGAACTTAAATGTCTGAAGTGTACAAGCAGCCAACATTTTGTAAGCCTACGCTTTAAGATCTTACATAATTTTATTTGAAATTGCGGTTTGCAGTTTAAGATTCGCCGAGAAAAAAAAAAAAATAAATGAAGCCAGCAGAGTAGTGAAGAAACCCTGCAAGCTTCCTCTCATTTTAGGGAAACTTTACTAGTCCCAGTTTGACTTTTAATTTTGGGTGTCAAACACAAGTACAACAACTTGTAATGCAAAGACCAATATTTAAGAAAACAATTTAAATGAGCTTAACATAAGATCCAAATGCACATAATTTCCTCCTTCCCTCCATTTCAAAATTTAAGCTCTGGACTTGAAACTCAGCACTGGACAACGATCCTCTGGAAGTAAACATTTGAAAAGAGATCATTAGAGCGATATGTCCCCACCTCAGAGAGACAATTTACTAAAAATTCCTAAATTAAATACATAAAAGCGTGACAATGCAAACAATTTGCCTCTTTTTTTGCCAGACAATTTGATCATACAGTTCTTGGAATTATTCTAAAAGTTACCCCTGGTAACGGAGTATTAATCATTGTAATTAGCACGTTTCTTAAATATTTTGGTCAAAAGTTTAATTAAGCAATATTCTTGGATTAACGAATCCAATGGAATGCAATATGCAAACATCTACTTTCCTTCTCTCCTTAAGATTACTTTGAGGCCCTTCAAGCAGGGTCTTTTTGACACTTGAGTTTTCTGTACCTCGCAACACAGTAACATCTTCAGATGTTTAGATCTACCTTTCAGTTTTGGACACAAAGTAATTCAACTTCGAGATGTGGTTACTGATGTCAGAAGTGCAACAATTACCTTCTGAAAAGAATATGGTTCTGCAGTGGCTGCCTCTTTCAGTGTGGAAATAAATTTACTACCCAGATATACTGGTTTATAATTGGAGAAATACTTGAATTTGAAAGATTACAATTTTTTTTTCCTGATATTACACCACAAAGGGTCAACAAGAATGTTAAAAATGAGGCTTAACTGTCTGAAGAAGGTGAGGTGAAGGAAGCACTTCTCTAGTATCATCATTTGACTCTAGAACAAAGTTTAATATCACAGAATGTAAAAAGAGACAGTAATAAAATAATATACATTAAATATTACACTTCCTTCTGCTAATAGGAACATACATCTAGGGTTTTCTCATTTCCAAAAGCCTTTCTAAATAACCTGATTCTATAGAGCTTCTTTTTTTTGTAGATAGTGTAAACATTTAGAATTTCTAAGGCTAAAAACAGGCACAAGTCTTCCATGAACAGTTATTATTCCTAAAAGCATTAAGGAATATATTCCAAATCTGCTATTCCTTTTTATAACAATGGAAAGAATTTAAATATTATAATTTACAATGCTGATTCTTAATTAAAAAAGAAATATAGCTTAATTGTGACAACAATTAATAATATATAGGGAATACTCCTATCTTTTTAAAATGGTCTATTACATCAAAATTACATTTCCAGAATCTCTGTGCTAGGTGTTACTCAATATCATAAAGTTTAAGTAGTGACTAAAACATTTCTAAGTGGGTGAAATTCAACCACGTTACGTCAGCATTATTAGCACCCCAGCTTTACAATAACACGGGTGAGATCTGCAATACCCATCTCACAGACTATGACACTGAAGCCACGTGGTAGGTGGCACCTTTTAAAAGATGTTAGATGTCCTGCTCCATAATCTCCATGAGGTGATTTTGTTTTGTGCCTCGTTAAGGTACCTGAGCCAACAGTCTTGTTTCAGGCTGGTTTTTCAAGATTTCAGAGGTTTTTCAGCCTCTGGAACAGGTTTCCTTTGCTGAGCAGCTAAGCGTTAGCCAACATTTCAGCAGACTGATTCCAATATATGTTAGCAGCAATGCGTTTCCAGAGACACGTTGCAAAAATATTAAAAGCAATTGTCGTCTAGAAGTCTTCTCATCCCCTGCACCATTCTGGACAGAATAACTCACCACCAAGTAATCTTGAATTCATAGATAGGACGCTTGCAATAATAGTGATTTATCAGGTGTTTATCGCACACGCCGATACACTGATGATCCACGGTTATCCCTCTGTCAGACAGGTCTGTCACAATACAGTGCAGAAGGTCATAAACATCAGCCACAGCCTCCCAGGGGCCGAAAGATACGTCTACTTCGCAATGATGTTCAAACAGCTTTGTCTCACTTTCACTCCTTTCAAAACGTAGAGAATTGAAATGTGGGCATTCATAGGGAGTGATGGGCATCTCTTCTTTGAAGACACAGACCTTCAATTTTGCAAATCTTGCTTTTCTTTGCATAGCTCTAAGCTTTGCTATTTCGATTATCCGTTCCAAATGATCTAAAAAACAAAAGTTGAAAACGACAATGAAGTACCTAGTAAAAGAAAACAAATGCAATTATTTTATGTGAAACACACTAGTGTTTGACAAGTTACTCTTAACAAAATATTAGCAGCAATGGGAAGCTGCATGTAGCTAGATATATAGTAATTAACTCAATCATCTCAGTTATCTTGTGAACTTGGTGTCCTTACTGTATCCCCAAATTTATTCAACTGCAGGTCCTAACAGAACAGATGCAGAGAGTGAGAAACCTTCTCTCTTAATAATAAGCCTTTCATGTTATGGCCTAGATCTTGCTCCCTTTCAAGACAGCACAAAAATCCAAATCTGACCTGGAGACCTCAGAGATCGAAAGAGCATGAAAGGTACATAAGAAACTTCTCAAATACAATGGAAATAGTTTGAAAGCTGAAAGCAGACCTGAAAACACCATGTATACTACTTGCATCATGCTGGAAGAAACAGTTGATAGGACTTTGTTTATTTACCTTTGTAATATGGCATTAGGCCCAGGAAAGCTTGTCTAACTTTTTCTCCTTTAAGAGGCTGGATATCCTCTAGATTGTCTAGCAGTGGTCCTATGGAATAATACTGTGCTTCCTTGTAAACCGACCTCACTCGCTCTCGTGGTGGCAGGTCACCAGATCGTAGAAAGTTAAGTATGTCTCTAAAAAAGGGCAAAAATACTATTAAGTAACAAGCTTCCATCAGGACTGCTGCAGGTGGGAAAGGAGAAAGAACACTGGATACTGTTTATTCTATTGAGACAGAAATCCTTACGCTTAGAAAGTAACTGACATTAAGTGTGAGTCATATTTCCAACATATCTTTTTAAAAGCATTTGCCATGTTCAGGTTTCCAAGTCATCATTTCACATTTTGCCCCTGTTAATGTCTAAACTCATTCAAAAAAATACCATTGTATTTTAAACGAAAAGTTCAAGGTGCAGTAACCGCTTCAAGTAGAGGATGACACAGTATTTTGTGGGAAAGAGATTGTAGTCACTATTTCAAGTTTAGGTCTGTGACAAAATAATCTTTTCCATTTTCCTGGAAAATCATATGCATGGACATTTTATCCCACAACCAACCAGGACTCTAGCTGAATGGATGGTGGGTTTGCAAAGGCGGTGTTCTCTTCAAACGATCAGGGCCAGACACATGTGTAGTGTATGTTATAACCGTAACAAAAGAGAGAACATTTCCTTGTACTTCTGAAACACTGTTAAGCTACAAGATTTTTAACAGGAAAACAAATCCCTTTATAAACATTAACCAACAAAATTATTATTGACCATATCAAATAGAATAAGCATGACTGCAATCTTCTTTAGAATATCAACAAATGCAGCACATGCGAGCCTGGCGCTTTGTTCCAGCTATGTTTTGAATTCAGACTGATAACATCACAGATTAATCAATTTTCCAACAAAGCAGCAGGCACTTCCCAATTGCCAAATGTAAAGAAACAATTATTTTCCAATAAATACAGTGGCTTAATCTATTTCTGTCCCAGATTATGGTACAGTCCAAATGTGCTTTGAAAATAACTCAACCCTTCTCTGCTGAAGAAATTAAGGAAATGTCTATAAAGCAGAAACAAGAAATACAAGTATACTTTGGGCAAAGACCTTAACCAATGAACATTAACCCATAAACACCGCTTCCTTTTCTAGCAATCTTACACCAACTCAAACAGAATATTAGTAAGATCATGGTTAGTTTAATTAAACAAAAGCTAAACATATAAGAAGGAACCCTGAAGGTGAAGGAATACAGCACTATCAGCAAAAAAAAAAAAAATTTAAAAATTTATTTGAGGTTTGTACTTTTTTACCAGTTACATTACATCCTGTTCAAACACTGAAAATATCATACTTTCAACTGTTTATGAAACTTAGATGCATTCCTCCTGTTCCCTCTTTATCATAAATACTGTGATATCAATGTAAAAAGCAGTGGTGTACAAAAGAGCTTCCTAGGAAAAGCAATACCAAATACATTCTTTGTTAAAACATCAGGACAACCTGATACCTTGAAAGGAGATACTCTAGAGGAGACAGTGCACAAATTCAAAACATTACGTGTTTTTCCTTTCCCACTGTAAAACTTAAGACCTTAATAATAAAGCAAATAGTTTTTTAATTGCAATATACTCTTGAGATATTTTGAAGGTGTGGATGCAGCCAGTCATGGTTACCTACTACACAAATATGATCTAACTAGAAGGAAAAAAAAAAAAGTTAAAACTTATTTTTCTTTAAAAATAATTTCTTCAGTAATAACTTTTAAAGTATACTGCTGAGGACACCGTACATACCCAAAGTAGGTTCCATCTCTGTCAATAAAGTATCTGCCTTCAGCATCTGTTGGAATATAGTGTCTTCCACTGAACATAGCCGCCAACATTGTGTCCTCATAACGTCTCAGTGTTGACAGTCTTGTTGTAAAATACATGCCTCCCACGTTTAGTGGAACAACTTCTGGAAACTGCAAAAGCAATCACATCATCAGAAATGAGCCTCCAGTCCTTTGCGGACACGTTCACGCCGAAAAGGTTACAATCTCTAGAAGACAGAGCATACAGTCTTTGCCACTGTGACATAACTTGGTCTGACAAATGCTTCTTTCCTGGCCCGTTGCCACAAAACAGGGAGGTTCAAGGGTTAACACCTGGAATACTTTGCCTGGCTTCTGGGTGTGATCAGTGCATGTTTTTCATTTTAGTTGGAGATCTGAAATAGCAGTAATCACTCAGCTTTAAAACCAGATAGTCACTAAAAACATGAAGAATCCTCTTTCCTCTTTTGGGGAAAGTAAAAACCAAAACAAACACCCTCCCACACCCCCTTGAACACACAAACACACAAAAATAAAAGGTAGAAGATCTCAGGCCAACCTTGGGACGTGCACTCAGCAGCTTCCTTTACACTACTATACTATACACTGAAAAAAACAGTGATTCTGTATTTACATCAGGTTTACACCAGGCCTGAAATCTTAGTCTCGCAGCTTAAGATGCCTCAGTACCACAATAAACACTTACTTTTATTTCTCAAGTCCAAACACAGATACAAATTCTGAGTAATGCTGCCAAAACTATTGAAGTAAAGTTCCAGAGACAGTTTTATTCAACAATTTAGCTACTAATGGAAACTGAACTAGATATCCATACATAATCCAACAAAGAAATCCTGAATTCTTTGGCACCTGAGCAGTACGTCCTGCAATAACTGACCCTTATCAGATGAACACTACCAGTTCCAGCACCAGTAAGAGAGCTCTTACCTGCTGAGGCAGCAGAGGTAGCGCTTGTCCTGCCTGGGTTGCAGTGGGAGTGGCTGGCTCTTGGAAATCATCCTCTGCATCCGAGCTCGACATGGCATCATCCGGGTTTCCACTCACTTTGTTCTGCCCTGTAACTACCACCATCCCTCTGGCTCTCGTCAGCAGGTCTGCGGGGTAGGCAGCCGTGGCAATGCTAAACGGGGAAACAAGACCCAAATCACCGAGGCGCTCTCCCCACCAGCTGCAGATCACGCGGCAGGCAAGGAACGTCGCTCCCCGGCTTTACACCGACAATTTACAATGGCATTGTTATTACTGGGAAATGAATCACAGCAAGGATGACTATTGTGCTGAGAAACAAACTCGGAGAGG